GGGTCAGGGTTAGGTTTGGACATTCCTAAGTGTTGGTACCAAAACGATGTGATTCCAACCTGCATTGTTTTCATCTATTTGCCAGCCCAGTGAGATTCTGGCTTCATGTTTTTACCGTTGTGCAGTTTCAGTTTTGAGTTTGAGAGACAGGTGTGAGTGAGGGTGGCTGAAGTTTCCGTACCTTTAGGTAAACGCGGACTAGCCTCCAGGTTCCGGCGCTAAGCTATTTCTGTTCATGAAAACAGAAGCTGGCAGGCACAGAGCCAGCTTCGCTTGAAGATGAAAACGTCTTTTTACCCTGACCCTAGCAAAATTCCTGAAATGTTGATTTATCCCAGAAACTGCACAGTGAGAGAAATCTCCCACATTCCTTTGACAGGTTTACATTTCTCCAGTTTTACTGGAAGCCAGTTTTTAATGTTTTACGTTGTTCAGCTACAAACCAAATCCACAGTGCTGAAGGGTCTCGCCAAATGTAAACAAGGTTGCTTTAACTCGTAAATTTGCACTTTAAAGGTTTTATATCAGAGCTTCCAAGAGGTATTAGCATTTAGTGTTTATCAGTAACAGAAGCTTTGATTTTATTCTTGCTTTGTTCACAAGCGAGCGTGGGGCGTTGAGAAGCTCCGGGTTTTATCGATTCAGCACTCTCAGCAGCTGACTTTTGTTTCTGTTTTGTAAAAACCAAAGATCCTTTATTATTTTTCTAAGCACTACTTTGTGCCTTAACACTGGATAACTCGTTCTAATCGTGCAGGTGATGCTGAAGCTGGGTTATTTAAATATGATGGAGCATCTTTGTGTTTCCTCCTGACTGTTGCTTCACTTCAGACTCCATCTGGTCACTTTGTTTTTCTAGAGTTGGTTCTTTCTGATCTTCCTGTGTGCAGCCTGGTTGTTCCAGGATGAAGCTGGAGTGTTTCCTTCCTTCCCACAGCAGCGCCCTGCACTTCCAAAGGCCTTTAATAAAGTGTGTCTCAGCTCATTTTGTTCTTTCTTTATTAGTATTTTGGAAACAAGTTTGTCTCAAGTTCATCCTTTTTTCCAACCTTGCCATCAAACACACACACACTGACTTTTTTTGGGGGGGGGGGGGGTTCAAATGATTAGGTATTTCCTGTACACGACTACTTGTGAACAAAACTAAACAAATAAAGTTTTGGTTGAATTCGCTGGCGTCTCTGGATGTGATTATTTAGAGCCGGAGGTCTAAGAGTTTCTCTCATTTCTACACAGACGTATCCTCCTGCCAGACTGGTACCCTCCACCATCAAATAGGAAAAAACAGCTTCTTGGAAATTGGAGCTGACCGAGCATTAATGGGATTTCCTCATTTGTTTCCTATTTACACAAATTACACTTTGATTTTTCTATTTGGTTGATGTTAATTTTTTTACATGAAATAACCTAAAATAATCATTTTGGCTGCGGCACCTTTTGGAGCGGACTTCACAACGAGATGCCTACATTTGGTCCAGCCCCTCCTCCATGCTGCAGTTTCAGATCTTTCTGCAGATATTAATGTTTAAAGTTTTGTTAGCATCGGTCACTTTCTGCTGTGCAGCAACATTCGGATTACTGGAGCGGTGTGGTAGAGCTGTCTGACCTTAGACGGTCATAAATCTGTTGCTCATTCTGAGCTTTCCCATCGGAATAACAGCACATAAAGTTGGTAGGTGGAGAGTTGAGGTTATGGGGTGTTACCATCTTGAGATCCTTCCTGCACACACCTGGATACAGCTTGGCCTTCAACCCCTCAGGATCTGACCGTGGCCTTTAGATCAAGCAGCTTCCTCACCCAGACGCAGAGATGATGAGACGACTCCCCTCACACTGCTGCTCGCTCCATCTTCACACCCCGAGTCAAACCGATCAGCTGTTCTGGTTTTGTTTTTTAAACTCGTCACTCCTCGTGCATGCACCAAAGTGTGTGACTGTGCAATGCTTGTGCATCCCCCGCAATTATCTTCAGGCTGCATCTGCCCCCTGTGCACCATTGTAGACAAGCAGCACATGCAATCGAACACTTTTTGTCATGTTATGAGGATTCATATAAAAGATTGATGGTATAATTAAGCAGGCTTCCTTTTAGAAAGAGTGATTCCCGACGGTCTGTTCTTGTTTTTCTGATTGCTTTTGAAATGATCTGCAGTCCAGAGATGAGTTCAGCACAAGCTAATAAAGTTTTATTTGATGCTTTAGCAAACCTGAATCAGCGCAACCTTGTAAACAACTTGGTTCAGTGAAGTCGTCAGGACCCTGCATCGTTCAAGCTTCACAAACCTGCACTGAGTTTAGTTCGCCAGCATTTGTTACACTAATAGAGATGTGCTCTGCAACACTTCTGAGTCCAGAAGTACCATGGTACTTTTTCTTCCTGGGCTAGGACCATCTGTCTAGCAGTCAGCGGAGCCACCAGAGGCTCCATTCTGCTCCGTCACATAGGAGCTCCTTAGACAAAGCAGTGCTGCACTTTTGCAGTCTAAATCCCCGCTGCCACAGGAAGCTAGCCAGAAACCGCAGGAGCATGGTCCCAGCAGATAACACACAGACAAACGCCTACGAGTGAGCTGGCTCTCATGCTCACCAAACCGTGAGAGCAAACTGCAGCCAGATCTCTCTTAATCACGGTGTGACTACTTCCTGTAGCAATGAGAGTCCAGTAATTACATAACTGATGGTGGCATTTATTTTAACAAATCAAAGGAAAGACTGGGTCTGCAGATGTTTGACTCTAACCAAAAGCAACCTCCGTTTGTTCTAGCGACAGAGAGCGCCTCCTGTAACTTCGGGTCAATCCCTCGTCTTCACCAGAACTGCAAGAAAGCTACAGCACCGTTACTTTTTAAATGGAGTAAATCTAATTTATTTGTATTTTTAGAAAATAAATTCTCATTTGAAGGTTTTTTGTGGCATCGGTGTGTCTAGCCGACAGTCCACACCAACATTTATACAGCACTGGCCAAAGCGCTTAACAGAGTTACCAGAACAATCTAAAGAGCAATAAAAAAATACAAGCAGATAAAAGCAACGACAGTGTCAGCCTGACGCAGCATCAAGAGCTTACAGATAAAAATGAGTCTTCAGCCAAGCTAACAGTTAGACTGGTGTCAGATTCAGGGCGGGGCTCGGCCATTCAAAGCTACTAGCTAGGCTATCTAATGCTTCATGTCATGGTGCTGGTTAAAATCTGTACTACCGCTCCACTACAGTTTTGCTGGCTGCTTTTATCTGTTTCAGGTGGGATGTGTTGCATCCACAGATCGTCATAGGGACCCCACACCCAGCATGGCTCGTTGGGCCACAACAACACTGAGAAGGAACACAATGTTGGGAGCTTCAAGAGCATTTAGATTAAAAGCTGTCAATAAAATTCACCACCAACCGGAAAACGGACAAGAGCCTCAGAGGTGATCTGCCTCATGATTCACAAGCAGGTCCTTTCGTCTGCACTCATGGGTTCAGCCAGAGCCAGGTGAGGCAGTCATGGTCTGCAATACAGCCTGGCCAGTGAAGATGCAGACAGACAAAGCACCATCTCTTCTGCTGTGGAAAGCTCTTTGAACGACCTCGCTTTGGAAAACCACCTTGCTGTGGTGGAGCTGTTGTCTGGGACCCTGGTCCGGTCTCCCGTGGTAAACTGGTCTACGGTAAAACGTGTGACAGAGCAGTTCCGAGACCAGAAAACAAGAATACCCATCCCAGAACCAAGACTGCTTGGGGCTTATGTACAAGCTCCACGTAACCATGGAGACAGGCTGCTTTCAGCCTGAGCTGGCTACACTGGCTCCTCCTACTGTGGACCTACCTACTGCAGGAGTATGAGGGCCAGTGCATCGCAGTCTGATTTGAAACACGCTGGTGGAAGGATGGAGCAGGACATCTCACGGGCAGAGGTGGGCAGCATCTGCAGGGTTGTTGACACTAAACTGGTTTGTTGTGGTGAAGAGGGAGCTGAGCCAGGAGGGGAGGATTTCCTTTTACCAGTTAATTAATGCTGCATCACTCACCAATAGTCATGTGTCTTTGGTGATGACTGAAAGAAAAACATAAATACAAACATGGTTCCTCCACAGGGAACTTGTGTGTAAAGCTTGGAACAAGAACCAGCTACTCCTCCACCTCTAGAAGATCCTGCGGAGGTGTTTGACCAAGTGGCCAGGATGCCCCCTGGACACCTCCTGAGGGAGGTGTTTCAGTCTTTTTGGAAGGATGCCCAGGAGTACTCAGGACTCGTCTTCTCTTGAATGATATTTCCGTAAATGCCGCTGTGAACAGAAGTCCCATAAAACCCGGCTGGTGAAATCAAATGGTCCAAAATAATTTATAAATGATGTTTTCAACCGTTTTCATGAACGTAACTATAAACAGCAGCTGTGAAGGCAGCTCTGTGGTGTTTTGACCTGCTTTAACACTGACTGGTGAATATAACACGCTCATCACAGGGAGACGAATGACAATGAGCTCTGAATGTTCCTGTCGTCGTCACACTAAAGTCAGACTGTTAGCTTCCCGTCTTGAAACCAGACTTATGAGCTTATCAAAAAGCAAAATAAAGTAAATCTATTCAGGTACAATTAAACAATCATTTTAACAAAGCTACAGTTAAACAAGCAATGAGAGCCTTAATGAGCGTACCAGTATGTTCTTCAGTCCATCTAAGAGTTTGTTACAATCTTGTAAATTAATCAGCGAGCACATTTCTGCAGAGAACAACTAAAACTGTTGACCAGATGCTTCTGGTGACGAAAAGATCCATTTTCTCTCATTCCTGTGTGGATTTATGAGTTTTCACCTTCCTTGTTTCATTGGTTTTATCCAACGGAAACCTGAAACTGCTGCTGAGCACAAAGTACGCTAGTCATCTGTGAGTGAATTATCTGCTAATGGACCCAGGAACCTTTTTTATTTCCACTTGTATTTATGAAGCAATTTTAGTCTGATTAGGGCTTCGTGTTTTTCATGTTCGGTCTCCTGAAGAGGCCTTATTGGTGCTGAATTCAATCTTTTCTATTCTTTTGAGGATAGTGATGTGTTTCCTACACAAAAACATGTGAAATTTAAATATTGGATTAGCTTTTTCTTCTGACGGGGTGAGGATTGTTGATAACTAGCTCGAGAAGATTCCTGAATAGAATAGAATAGAATAGAATAGAATAGAATAGAATAGAATAGGATAGAGAAGAATAGAATAGAATGCCTTTATTGTCATTGTAAAAGTACAATGAAATTTTAAAAAGTGGTGTCATCTCCTATGGTGCTTAAAAATGATACAAATGATAAAAACAAGAAATAAATACAACACATACCACATATGCACACAAATTCACAACCTCATTCCATCAATGCATTAATGCACGACACCAGTGGCGGCTGGTGAAAAATATTTTTGGTGGGGCTGTGCTATTTTTTTTTTTAAACAAACTTGTGCTTTCTGAGCTTTGTGCACAACTTCACTATTTCCTGAATTAAGCACAGCTCTTTTATTTCCTGTCTTACATCATTGGACAAAGGGATTAATCCACGTGTGTCTGACTATTGGCACGCTGCCTTGCGGACCAAGGTTGAAAAATACTGCATTAAATTGCACATAAAATAACACGACCATATATGGTCCACATCCACATTACTGTTTGTGAAACTAACATACTGGAGAATTTCATCACAATAATATTAAATAAACAAGTATGTACCTGATCTTTTGCATGCTGTTGGTGAAGCTCTGGATGACCCCTGTGATGGAGACAGAGTCAATGTTCCTCTTCTGCAGCTGGTTGAACAGCATGTCCACATGTGGCATGATCTTGTGACACAATGCCAGCAGAAAGCCGAGATCTTCTTCCTCCAGCATTCTCACAAAGCCTCCTGCCTCTCTCTCAGTGATTGGATCAAAGTCATCCGAGTCTCTGATCATCTGGAAACATCTGAGGAGGTCATCCTTGTGCTCATACACTGTGTTGACATCTCTCTCTTGGACAAAATGTGCCGGTTCTGATCCACTTCTTCATTGTGTTTCTTCACTGCAAGCCTGTGCTCGTCTCTAGCTGCATGGCAATGTTAGCTCTGCCTAGCATAGCTAGCTTCACCGTGTTGTCCATGTGCGCCCGGGATAACTCATGTTTCTTCACCTTCTCAGAAAAATGTTTCATGTCCGTAACTCCTGACTCATCCATGCCTCATCTGTCACAGTCGTTTTGAATAACAAACACGGAAAGCAAAATAACGCATTAGCGTGATTGCATCCAGCTAGCCAAGCCTTCCCAGAAGCCTCGTGTGTACAGTTTACCTCTCTCCTCCTCCTGCTGGCTTATCTTTACGTCGGGCTGATCTGGTCCAAGCTCTTTGACATTAAGTTTTTCCACCATAGTTCTCCTCTCGAACGACTGGAGAAGAGACCGAACTGAATTCAGTGGCTGCTGAGATCCGGTATCCTGGTTGTAGGCTCACTGGCGTCCATTACATCTGCGTCACGAGACTCTCCGAGTTCTACCGAACACCAACGAAAGCCTTGGCGGTAGCTCTATCGCCCATCATGCTACTGAAACGTTCTGAAACAACGTCGACGCTGATTGGATACCCCATTCCTACCCTTTGATTTTCTTGTCAGCAATTGGACAGCGGGTCTCGTCCTGTTTGGGCGATTGAAACACAGCACACAGCCTCCACCGCTCGGCAGAGACCGGCAGAGACCAATATAGATATAAATGTATATGATTTATTTTTGTTACAAAACACACAATTAACTTAGAATATGTGATTATTGTTAATTTTATTTATTTATTTTTTAAATAAAAATTGAAAACACTGGGGAAACTGGGAGGGCGGCGCCCTATCGCCCTCTACTGGCCAGCCGCCACTGCACGACACATAATATTACACATTTTAGAAGGATAATGATGAAAGTCATATCTATACTGTATTTAGTGCGCTTGCTTTTGCATAGAAACTGTTTTTCAGTCTGTTTGTCCATGCGTTTAATGAGCTAAAACATCTCCCAGAGGGCAACAGTTCAAAGTTCGAGTGACCCGGATGAGATGAGTCCCTCAGAATGTTGTCAGCCTTCCTGAGGCAGCGGGCACTGCACAGGTCTTCCAGGGTGGGGAGAGAGCAACCGATGATTTTTAGGGCTGTGTTGACACCCCTCTGGAGCGTTTTTCTGTTTGTTGCTGTGCAGCTGCCAAACCACACACACATGCAGCCAGTCAGGATGCTCTCTATGGAGCAACAGTGAAAAGACATCAGCAATTTCTGAGGAAGTTTGTTGTTCTTCAACGCTCTCAGTGTGACCATACGTTCTTGTATGGTCACACTGACTTCTAGTAAAGAAAACAGTCACTCTAAACTTCCGTTCATCTCCAAGATCTTGGAAAAGGTTGTGGCTAAACAACTCACAGCTGCTCTTGATGAACATAACATCTATGATAGCTTCCAGTCAGGTTTTCGTAGAGCTCATTCTACTGAAACAGCTCTTCTTAGGGTCTCTAATGACCTTCTGACCCACAGTGATACAGGGGACGGTTCTGTTCTGGTCCTGCTGGACCTGACTGCGGCCTTTGACACTGTTGACCATCACCTGCTACTGGAGAGGCTGAGAGACTGGGTAGGCCTATCAGGATCTGCTCTGGAGTGGTTCTCCTCTTATCTCTCTGAGCGCTCCTTTTCTGTGGCCGTCTCCAAGTTTAGGTCCTCCACCACCTCCCTTACCCATGGTGTCCCACAAGGTTCTGTGCTGGGGCCTCTGCTCTTCCTCCTCTATCTGCTTCCTCTTCAGCACATCCTGAGCTCCTTCAAAGGAATCTCCTACCATCTTTATGCAGATGACATCCAACTGTATATCTCCTTCAAGCCCCATGAGATGTCGAAGCTAAAGTCGCCTGATGTTTTCTGGGTAGTATATAGTTGTTAAACCATCCCAGTCTCCTTACAGGAACTGCCATAGGTCTTTGAGTTTTCCATCACAGTAAATATGTTTGGTATAGTTTTTAAGTTTGTAATTGTGTGGATTTAGCTGATTCTATTTCCTATCTCGGTGTACTGCTGTAAGCAGTTGTGTTCGCCTTATTTGTGTTTATTATTTTAATTGTGCTTATTGTGATTTTCTTTTTGCTGATTTTTGTATTGACAAATGATTGCAGCACCTCGTGCTGTGTAACTCTGATCGGAGTGTGCATTACTTTGCTTCTTGTATTCTTGTTTTAATGCTTGCCATTTTGTTTTGGTTGGTCATTTTGATCACCATTCTGGTTTTACCCTTATCTATTATTTGGTTTTGTGACATTGCTTGCTAATGTTATAACTACAGTTATCTAAATGCTACAACAACAGTTTTCAGCCCATTTTATACTGTCTTTTATTTTTATCTTTTACACTTTAATAATTTTCATGATTACCCACAGGTTTATAGGTTGATGCATATTTTGCAGCCATTTGGGGATCACTAACTATTTTTGTGCAGTTACAGAAATCCATCCATTTCCTGAACCCGCTTTGTCCACGCAGGGTCGCGGGGGGGCTGGTGCATATCTCCAGCGGTCAACGGGCAATCAGGCGGGGTACACCCTGGACAGAGAGCCAGTCCATCGCAGGGCAACACAGAGACACACAGGACAAACTATCACACACACACACACACACACACACACACACACACACACACACACACACACCTAAGGATAATTTAGACAGACCAATCAACCTAACAGTCATGTTTTTGGACTGTGGGAGGAAGCCGGAGAACCCGGAGAGAACCCATGCATGCACAGGGAGAACATGCAAACTCCTTGCAGAAAGATCCCAGGCCAGGAAGCGAACCCAGGACCTTCTTGCTGCAAGGCTCTACCCACAGCTCTAACCACTGCGCCACTGCGCAGCCAGTTATAGAAATATTTTCTTTAATCAAATTATCTTTCATTGTTACTACTGTTTATTAAGCTGCCAATTATATACAATATATTTGCCGACATTAAATGCTCATTTTATGCATAGCATAGCATAGCATAGTTTATTTATATAGCACGTTTAAAATGCAGCCTGGGAGCTGCCCAAAGTGCTGCACAGGCTAAAACAAAACACAACCATTACAAGGAGCTAAAACAAAGGATAAAAAATCTCAAACAAAGGCAGATAAACCATGATGAATACTAAAAACACATTAAAACAATGATACACTAAAACGAGTCACTGTCTAAAAGCCAAAGTGTAAAAGTGGGTCTTTAAACGCGATTTAAGCACCACCAGAGATGGAGCCCGCCGAACTCCAATGGGCAATGAGCTCCATAGCTTCCACATGCATGTTAAATGATTTAATTCAAGTCCTGACCAGTAATTAAAGTGAAAACTGACAATAAAAGAGGAAAAATGTTTGATCATATATCACAACGACCTGTTGCCACTCCCCAAATAAATCAGTGCTTGAATAAAAAGGTGCGTGCGTGCGTGTGTGTGTGTGTGTGCGTGTGTGTGTGTGTGTGTGTGTGTGTGTGTGTGTGTGTGTGTGTGTGTGTGTGTGTGTTGAACGGTGAACGAGGACGCCTGACCTGAGTCAAACGTCAGGCGTCGAACGGATCGACAGACGCGCTGCATGCTGGGATTCAGCGGGCTGTTGTTTACCAGATGACAGAGGGAAGTTTATTATTTTGACTCAGAAACAAACGCTGTTTCCTCTTCTTCCCTCGGCCAAAGCCGAAAGTTGTGATCGTGAGTTCGGTTCGGTTGTTTTCCGAAACAGAGAGAGAGAGAGCCTCGCGAGCGGCGCGTGCCGCTGCCTGGAGGCTTTGCTTTTCTGCCGAGTCACTGACGGACACACTTGGGACTATCTGCCAAGTCACAGGTCGGTGCCGCAAGCTGACAGAGGCATGTGCTTCAGAAGCTGCTTTATTCATTCACGCATTCATTCATTCATTCTAACGACGATGCAAGATTAAACCCAGGGGTGCACCCAGACCATGTTAATGGGGGGACCAGTGGAAAGTTTGGGGTGGCTCACAAAACTGGTCCCTGTGGTAATCTGGTGAAGTTCCGCCTGTAGCGGTGCATAGCCTTGCTCCATCATACTTTTATTTTTTAGAAAATAATAGGCCTGAGAAAATTTGAGAAATGTGGTCACAGAAAGTTGGACTTTAAATGACTGATCTGACATTTAAAGGTTTTATGGTGTTTACACAATAAAAGTTTACGTTAAATGATTTGGGGAATTTTCTGGAGACAGAATGTTGAATAAACACTAACATCTGAATTGTGAAAGGACTTTAATAAGCCTTGCAGCTAATCTTTACACTTTTGGTTAGTTGTGTAACATCTGACAGCCACTCTATGCTACTAAATAATTCTAGTTATAGCAGATAAACAATCACAACGAGATCTTCTGGACCGTCTTTTAGGCGACTGATCTCTGGGCTTGTAGACCAGCATCTGAATCCAGCCAAATGTAAGTCACATTATGTTGTTTTTCCTTAGAAAGTGGAGTGTAATACTCTGTGAGGAATCTTTTCTCCTATCCTGTTAGTCTCTGCATGTGTAGTCACGCGTTAAAAATCTGAAGTTTACCGCATGAATCATACCCACGTAAACGTCAGACCGCACCTGCATCTATCATGTGCATTGTTGATTGTGGTATTTGTGTATTTTTGCTTCAACATAGGAACAGAGCGACCGCAAAGAGGTTAATTGAACGCTACTTTCGGCAGTTAACTGAAGGTTGTGGAAATAGCAACTGCACAAATGAGTTTTGTGCATCACATTCTGCTTTTCAACCTCTGGATAACAATTCAGCAGCTGCAAAGTCACTAGAGCTCTTCAAGGTTAATGCCAAGCTCTGTGATTACTACCCCTCTGTCAGGTCCAGCACAGACGCAAGCTCTCAAATGGGCAGTAAGATGAGCGTTGATGAATTCTCAGGTACTTTGAAACGTATTCCTGAGTCTCAAAGATGCTGAGTTTGTATCTGGTCTTATATAATTTGTCTCATTGCAGACGTTCATTACCTCACAGAGCACACTGTGTGTAGGATCCTGGGATTCTGTGAGGAAGAAGGGGATTATGCTCCTCTTATCCGTGTCATCGGCAGGATTTTCTCCAATGCAGATGCTCTTATGAAAAGTTTCAGGAAAGATGAACTAAGTGTCACCAATAATCTTGAGTCTTTGACATCAAATGACGAGAAGCAAAGGGAGACCTCCAAGAGAGAAGATGCCTCCACTCGAGCTGCTTTGCCAGATGAAACTCCAAATGGACTTCCTGACGCGTGTGAGCTGACTGTAGACATCGATGCAGTTCGGAGAGTCTACGACAGACTTTTGTCCATCGACCAGGTGGAGGCAGCTCTTGTGAATGCTCTGATTTACCTTACTCCAAATGTGGAACTTGATCTGGAGTATCTTGATGTATATGAGACAAGTCCAGATTACCTTAATATCTTCATTATAGTGATGGAGAACAGTAACCTCCACAGCCCAGAGTACCTTGAAGTTGCATTACCACAGTTCTGCAAAGCAATGAGCAAGCTGCCTTTGACTGCACTTGCTCGGCTGTCGAAGCTCTGGTCCACGTATGACCTCCCGCACATCCGCCGTATGATGGAGACTTTCCAACAGCTCATCACTTTCACAGTCGTTAGCAATGAATATGATACAGAAAATCTGGTAAATGACAATGAGACGGTGGTAGCTGCCACCCAGTGCCTTAAGATCATCTTCTATGCAAGCATCTTGGGAGGGGAGGTGGACGTGGAGCACAATGAGGAGGACGAGGAAGACTCCGAGTCCAATGAGCTGACTCTCCATGAATTGCTGGGTGAGGAGCAGCTTTATAAGAAGGGCCCGCGGGTTGACCCATTGGAGAAAGAGCTGGGCGTCCGTCCTATAGACAGCATAAGACCCCTCATCCCCTTTGAGGATTTTGTTAACGACTCTCTGAATGATGTGATTGAAATGGATAAAGATTTCACCTTCTTCAAAGTCAATGCAGAAACAAAGTTTTCTTTCCAGAGCTGCCCCTTCATCCTCAACATGATAACCAAAAGCCAAGGGCTGTATTACGACAACAGGATTAGAATGTACAGTGAGCGACGCCTCACAGCTCTTTACAGCATGGTCCAGGGCCAGCAGCCCAGCCCCTATCTGAAGCTCAAAGTACGCAGAGACCACATCATCGACGATGCCCTCGTCAGAGTGAGTCCCAGCTAATTGCACCTCTGTCCCACTTTTGCATTAGATAGCACGTGTTGACCTGCAGTCGCTCTTTATGAATTTTAGAATGCTCTTTTATTTGTGTGCAGCTGGAGATGATCTCCATGGAGAACCCGTCCGACCTGAAAAAGCAGCTGTTTGTCGAGTTTGAGGGAGAGCAAGGTGTAGATGAGGGTGGAGTTTCAAAAGAGTTCTTCCAGTTGGTGCTGGAGGAAATCTTTAACCCAGACATAGGTGTGTGTGTGTGTGTGTGTGTGTGTGTGTGTGTGTGTGTGTGTGTGTGTGTGTGTGTGTGTGTGTTTTGTACATTAACCCTTTAAATAAAGCTGAATACATGAACTAATAGCCCTACAATTTTACATGGTAAGACTTGAACCATATATTGGCTAATGTATAATAAGAGTTATATTTTAGTAAATAATTATATAGCAATACAACAATAATAAAATGGCACTGGCCACTTGCAGTATTCGCACCCCCCAACAGAGGCAGAAGGCATTTAATAGACCCATCACAGCATGTTACCGAGGAAAGCACTAATCTTGCTATAGTGGTAGAGGTCTTGGAAACTGACCCCGGGTTTCCACGGGAGCCGTCAGCAGCACGTCTTGCTCGCGTAAGCTGCTGCTTGGCCCTTCCCACGAGACGTGAAGCAGCAGGGGAGCAGCTGTCACCGACCGAGCACGAAGTCACACGAGTGACTTCGTCAGTAAACACAACAACAAGCAGGAGAAAACTACAACATGGTTTGTGTTTTATGTTCTGTCCGTTTTATAATCGCCAACACGGACCTAAAAAACAAAGGAGACCGCTAGCTAGGTGATAACTTCTCACGGGGACGCACAGTTAGTAACCTTTTTTAAAGTAAAGCGACCGGAAGGCAGTACGTTCTTTATTCTGAAAATCTCGGGAGCTTCTCTCCATTTCCACGTCCGATTTCCTGTCTTTCCTTCCCCAAAAATGTCGAACTTGACCCGTTTCAGAGGCGTCGCGCGTAGAAAATAGAACCGGCGCGTAAAGGCCGCGACATGCTGCTCCTGAGACGCGGCCGACTCGCGCTGCTGACGGCTCCGGTGGAAAGCCGGGGTTAGACTCACATCAGATATATTTGGTGTTATAGGATTAAAATGAGGATGATTGAGAATATTCTCACATTTGTTCATTATTGATATCATCTTTGTCCGTAACCTGGTCAGCTTAGCTTAAAGACTTGAGACAAAAAATAACAGTTTGATTAAAAAACGAAGGGTCCTGTGTGAAACCGTCTCAGTCATGTGCAACAACATGTTTACTGAAACACTGATACAGTTTCAAAGATGGCAAAGACACGTGTGACTTGATTATGAAATAGTTTAATGTTGACAAGTCCAAATCTGCATCTCCTTATTACCAGACTCGGTTTAGCAATGTCGGGTTGATTCTATTTCTGCTTTTCAACAATTTCACACTCTGTAAAGCAGATTTCAAGCCATCTCTTCAGTAGGGTGTTAAAGGAACACAAATATCCTTTCAGATGGTCTTTTTCTTCTGTCTCTGAACAGGAATGTTCACCTATGCTGATGATGCACATCTTTTCTGGTTTAATTCATCCTCTTTGGAGAACGAAGCTCAGTATACGCTTATTGGAATCGTCCTGGGGCTGGCCATTTATAACAACTGCATCCTGGATGTCCATTTTCCAATGGTTGTCTACAGGAAGCTCATGGGGAAAAGGGGGACCTTCTTGGACCTGTCCGACTCCCATCCAGTACAGTAACGATTGTCCACATTTAACAGACCATGAAACAAACAAAGACAGGAAACTTCTACAAATAAAGATCAAACCGTTATTGCTTTGGATTTACAGCATCATGTTTGTCTTATTGCAGGTTCTGCACCAAAGTCTGAAGGGGCTGATCGACTACACTGGCAGTCTAGAACACGATATGGTGCTCACCTTCCAAATATCACACACAGATCTTTTTGGAAACCCAATATTGTACAATTTGAAGGAGCAGGGAGACCAAATCCCTGTAACCAAGGAGAACAGACAGGTGAGTGGGGTCGGATCCCGCCGGTGTGTACGACTGTAGGTGCTTTAGATTTAGCACAAGTTGATTTTAAAGCAACTAACTTATTCTAAAATGTTTCAGTTTCTGACCTGTCAAAAATATTTACTCATTTGTCCAAAATGTACATTTCACAAGAAGAAAAACAGGAACAAGGACAACAGGAAACATCTTTTGTCATTTGCTCATGACGTGTTCTATAGGTTGGCTCTCCGGCAGGATTTTATTTCAGAGAATAAATAAATAGCTTTTGTTTGTGCGTAAATAAAAAGGTTTTTTTTTTGTCTTGAATTGACAGGAGTTTGTTGACCTGTATGTGGAGTACATCCTGAACAAAAGTGTGGAAAGACAATTCAAAGCCTTTAAAAAAGGCTTCCTAATGGTCACAAATGAATCCCCTCTGAAGTACTTGTTCAGGCCAGAGGAAGTCGAGCTGCTCATCTGTGGCAGCAGGGTGAGAGAAAGCTGTCGTCGACTCAACCCCAACCGGGCTTTTCATGTCTGTTTCCATTCCGTTGAGCAAAATATCACCTGAATTATAAAGTGTGTGAGAGCTCCTTTTTAAGCTACTCTGAACAAAGCTAACACCGATGAGGCCATGAATGTTGGGTTTAAAGCCTTTTTCAACTAACGACACATTCGGTGTAGCTGGAAAATTACACCTCTAGTTTGCAAAAGTCATTTATGATCCTCTCTATACACAACTGATCACACCGATGATTAAAATGCAATCTTCTCATTTACAGAAACTTGATTTTGAAGCACTTGAAAAGACGACAGAATACGATGGAGGTTATAGCAAAGACAGTCAAATTATCAAGTAAGTCCTCTGCTTATAAACTTCTGATGTTTTAAAGGGTTTTGTAATTTTCTTTGGTTGTCAGTTACAAATAATCATCATTATTATAATTATTATGGATGCTCCACATTGGCTTTTTATCAGTGTCTGATATTGTCTGACTCTTAATCACTGATATATGCCAATACTAATGTGTGCTGTGTTCCCCTCATAAAAAAGAAAAACTAAAACATTTTAGGTTTAAACATTTAACGTAACATTTCTCCTATCATGCACGCTTCAATTTTAAACATTTTCTGTGCAAAATTACAACTCAGCTGACGTTAGTAACAGGAATACATGAGTGTAACGGTGGCATGATGCCACAGAAAGGTGCAACACCCTCTCTTTTCCTGGCCGGGAATTGCTTTGCAACACAAGGAGAAGTCAGAAGGCAAAACATGTGTGTGTGTGTGTGTGTGTCTCCCCCGTGTGGAGCTGATGGAGTATACATTTACTGTGGTGGAGGGGTTTGAGTGTCACAATGATCCTTTGACCTCTTGTTGGGTCACCCATAAAAACAGGTCCTAGATGAGGGATCAGACAGGCTATAGCCCAAAGATCTTTTATGATGAACAACATAAATTAGAACAGTGTTCCCTCGCCCAGACGCGGGTCACCAGAGTCACCGTCTGGAGCCAGGCCTGGAGCTGGGTTACGTTGGAGAGTGCCTGGTGGCTGGGCTTTCACCCATGGAGCCAGTTCAGGTGGTGTGGGCATCTGGTTAGGATGCCTCCTGGACGCCTTTCTGGTGAGGTTGTCTGGGCACGTGCAGCCAGACCTAAAGGGAGACCCAGGACATGCTGGAGGGACTATGTTTCTCGGCTTTTCAAGGAACACCTTGTGATTCCCCCGGAGGAGCTGGCACAAGTGGCTGGGGAGAGGGAAGTCTGCCTGCTGAGGCTGCTGTCCCCATGACCCGACCCCATATAAGTGGAGGAAAATGGATGGATAGATATGTTGTAGATAAACTCCTGAACAACCTTAGAGAATAAGAGTTTATCCCCTAAGACTGATGTGCTAACGGCTAGTCTGAATGGAGACAAGACTAAAGTTTCTTAAAACAGCTCCAGTCCACTAAATCTCACAGCTGCTGTTCAGTATGACTGAATAATTTCCCTGAAGCTTACTGTTTAAGGTGGTTCCAGCCATTTATTAATAGCAGGTCCATCAGTGACGTTATTAAAAGGAACCCAGGTTACAAAACTTTGTGGTTCTTAAAAGTTAAATGTTAGTACCAGTTATATTAAAGTGGTGTAAAAAACCTTCTTGGTGTTTTCATTTTTATAAAAATTGTTAAAAATTGTTTAACTTTCAGGTCGCCATTTTTGTTAACGTCGCAATGCACTCTGTGTAGTGACGTCATTTGGTTGTACCTCGGTTGCACCGGCCGGCTTTGGGACCCTGTAGGGACTGTTCAGCGACATCAACATGTCATCGGTTCAGCCTTTTCAATTTGAACCAAAGTGAAACATTAATGAGGACGTCACTGACGATGTTTCACAAAACGAGCATCAAAATGAAGAGCAAGAAGGGCGGGATGAAGCGAGAGCAGGACAAAACCGGTGGTGCGTGTGCGGCAAATGCGTCTCCATGGTAACCAAGAGGGAGAGAGCTCACATGTCCGATAGTCCGTTGAACGTGACAGAAGTGGCAGCTGCAGGAGCGGGTTGTCGGCTCAGGAGAGCGTCCAGCGTCTCTCGTCTCTCCGAGGGCGTTTAGGCTCCTTGTGTGGGAAAATGGTCGGTGAAGCATTTAGTTTCCACCTTCTCTCATACCCAGCCTCTCTGGTGAGCTCTTGAAGTCGTTGTGGTCGACTATTAGCCTCAAACGCATCAGGAGAAAAATGTTGGGAACACAGCCGCAGATCTTTGGGAAGTTGTGTCCGTCCACAGGCATCTTCCCACTGCTTTCTCCTCTTGTTGCCAGTGGGAAAGCTGTAAACTCACATCACTCCCCTTGTTGCCGTCTGACTGGAAATTACATCCAAAAGCAGCACAATGCTGCATTTTACTTAATTGTTAATACGGTGAGCATGTAAACAAATACTAGCGTCAATAGCTATTCTTCCAAGAGCAACCAATGTACGTCATCGCCCCCAGAGTGCATTGCGTGCGGAAAACATGGCGTCCTACATATGTCAAAAAATGTACTAAATATTATAGATTTATAAATAAACAGCAATATTTTCTGTTTTTCTACAACACATTGTGATACAACAGAAAATTTGTGGCTTATTAGAGCATACATGTCCTCATAGCTGGAGTTCCTTTTAAGGGAGATAACATGTTCTCTGATATTTTTGGTTGCAGGGATTTCTGGGAAATAATTCACTCATTCGGAGAGAAGCAAAAAAGGCAGTTCCTTCAGTTCACCACTGGTACAGATAGAGCTCCAGTTGGTGGTCTTGCCAAATTAAAGATGATTATTGCCAAAAATGGCTCAGACACCGACAGGTACAGCTCACCTGGAAACATACTGGTGGTTTCTCACTCAGCTCTAATGTTTGTCAACCCAAGAATGTGACTTTCTGTGGATGTTCAAGCCCCAAATTGTCTTATTTTTATTGTTGCTGTGATTTTGCAGGCTGCCAACCTCTCATACCTGCTTCAATGCCTTGCTGCTCCCTGAATACTCCTCCAAAGAAAAGCTGAGAGAGAGGCTCCTCAAGGCCATCACTTACGCCAAAGGCTTTGGAATGCTGTGACAAAAGTAAACGCTTTTGACAGCGTGTGTGAAAATAAACGGATTATAATGAAACTATGTAGTGACAGAATGCTGCAGTAACCCTGTGCCTAAGCAAACTTTTGCAGATACTGTAACTCCACTGTTTGCCTTCCTCACTGAGCCCTCGATCTTCACATTCAGGGACATGATATCCCAAAGAGTTCAAACAGCACCTATGGTGTTTCACTTCTGTGGCGTGTTTCTGAGCCACCTAAATAATATTTAAGTGGTTAAAATGTGAAAGTTCACTTACAGCACATTGGGTAATTTTAAGATTTTAGTTTGACTTCATGTGTTGCTCAAGTTTTTGAAAATTAGCAGTATTAAGCCCTCAGAGGGCATATTGGTGCTCTTCAGTGTTGTAGCATATTGAAGTGAAGCTTATTTTATTACTGCTAAAACAGCCTGACTGACCCTATTTTGTGCCTCAAGGCAAGCTGCAGCTTATTTTAAGATTTTAATCCCTTGCGCCGTGCCTCTTTTGCTGTGAGCCTGACCTGATAGTTTGATTTCCATAGATTTCTGGTTTTATTCTGTTCTTACTGAGTTGCTAATTTGCATCCATGATGTGTCTTGGTTGATATTCGAAGAGACACTGAATACACACTTGTAAGTGCAATTTGTGAAATGTGCAATACCTAAAAAAGCAAGAGTTTTATTTGGCCCAAATCTCAGGTATTCAAATGACATCCAGATAATGTGAAACCTTCATGTAAACTCACGGATATGCAAAAGCTAAATAAAGGTGCAACATCTGTCAACTTTGTTGTAAATGTCGTTGTTTATTCAGTTTTTAGTTGTAATTGTGGAAAACAAACATATAAAATGGATCAAATTACAACCCCAGAGTTAATATTGGTTTATTTCAGCTTTATGAAGCCTTTTATTCACGTTTTATAAACCATGACTGAGCACACCATTGTTTTTCTTGTGAAATTCCCAATAAGTTTGATGTGTCACATGACCCTCCTCCTATTGAAAAAACAAAAGTTGGATTCAAGATGGCCGACTTCAAAATGGCCACCATGGTCACCACCAAGCCCCCACAATGGAGCTCTAAAGTTAATACTCTTAGCTAAATTCTTTATTCACAAATGTAAGTTTACCAACAAAACACCTTATTTCTGTCATTTTTTTAAGGATGTGGAATTGTACATAAAATCAATATCAGAATCCACCAACAAAAAGGCTCTCAAAACAATATATATGTGAATTTTTGCGTGTATTCTTATAATTTTACTTTTTTCTTTTACCCCTGGCTTTATGTGTTCATATTCTGTTGTTTTGTATACTTCATTCGTTTCTATGTTGTATACTCATTGTTTGTTAAATAAAGTAAAAAAAAACAAAAAAACAATGGAGCTCTAAAATTGAGTCAAACCCGGAAGTACCAAAAATTGCAGTTCCACCCTCATCCACTAGGGGCTGGTGTCAGAAACGAGCAAATCCTCATTGACTCCCATGTTAAAAATACCAATTTCACAGCAGAAATAAACATGTTTACAGCCTGGTACCAGAGCATGTTTTTGGTTTAAATGATCTAGTTTACACTCATGACAACTCTGAGGAGGGTGAATTTTTTTCTCACTCTTCTGTTTAAGTGTATTAAAAGCCTAAAAATCTGTATAATTAATGAGCATCAGACCCACGTGACCACAGAGCTAGCTCCGGGGAAAGGCCTCAGTAGAGCCTCGGTCTGGACTGGAAACTGCTCCGGGACTTTGAGTCTCTGTGTGTGTGTATTCTTTTTTGGATATTTTTTGTGCAATTGTTGGACAAAATGACTTGCTGAGGCATTAATTGCACTAATAGAGCGTCCAAGGAGTCTCCACTTCATTTTTTTCGGTAAGTAAAATTATATTTATGTATTTTAGGTCACTGCCGAGCTGAGCTTAGATTTTAACATGTACTGTTTAACCATGAAATTTAAATGTAATAGGGTAAAACCCAGTGCATTTAACATAATGCTGCACTTTAGAAAATGGGTTGAAATATAACATGTTGGTGGAGCTGGGTTCCCACTATCGGCTTGTGGAGCTCTCGGGAGACCGATGTTTTCCACCCGGTTCTCCCCTGGCTTCACGGCTTCTGTTTGCTGCGCAGAATGCCGGCTTGTGGAGCTCTGGGATGGAAACCTTTCCACCCGGTTCTCCCCAGCAGCAGCTCTGCGCATCTCAGATCGCAGCGGCGCTTGTCTGCTGTGCGGCTGCCGGCTTGTGGAGCTCTCGGAGACCTCTATGTTTCACCCGGTTTTACCCAGCGGTCAGCCCGGCGTATCTCTGACTCTGGTGTTGTGCACAGTTAACTCTGGTTTTAGCTAGGTTGCTACCTCCATTAGCTTAGCTCCCACCTCCGCGTTAGCCAGGGTTAGCTTCAGGTTAGCTTGTAGCTAGTTCGACCGGGTGTCGTCAGTTGATCCCAGTCTTACAGCCCCACCCTCAACTCCTCCTCTCTTCCCTTTTGTGGAATTGGCTGGGCTTGACGGAACCTGTGACACGGTCAAAATGGCAGTGGTGGCCACCTCCCATTTAGCCTCAAAAACGTGATATTGGAGCCTATGGAAAGGAGATGTCCAGTATATGTATGTCGATGGTCACCACCCATCTTGAAAAGTTTGCCCCTCACATATACTAATGGGCCACAAACAGGGCGTTAATATTACCAACCATTTTATTAAGATGCATCCATATAAATGGCCCACCCTGTACTGTAACCATTAACATGCATCTGCTACTAATAATGAAAAAAAGTGTAAGACACGTTTTTTTCTGTACCAGGTCTAGGATCAGTAGTCGTAGACCACTCACTTGTCTTCTTTCAAGAATCGTTTAAGATTTTTTTTTTAATTCCTTAAGGGGTTGTCTTACCTAGCCTAGCAAGCCATCCTATTGACCCTTTGCACCGATGTAACCTAATCACGGTGGTCCACCACAGTGGACGGCAAAAGCATATAAACAGTGAGCGACACGAGTACTAAACAAAGGGAAAAGTAGAGCCTGGAACTGTTTTTGCGATCAAAACAAAAACAAAACTCCTCCAGCATTCCTTCCACTGGTTCATGCCCAGTTCAGTTATCAGAGGAAGTAGCGCATCTAGTGGGGCTCATAGAGAGCGGTATGCTAACTAGCTTACCAACGTTAGCTTACGTTCTCTCTGCAGCTGTTCACCGATGTAAACATGTTGCTGACTTTGCCTAAATTCACCCCTCTGGATTCATAACTTTATGTTGTAAACAGCGTTTCACTTTACACCAAAGCTGATTGTTAAGAAATCCGGATCTCTACCAGCTTCTGTTTCTGGTGGTGGTACCGGGTTCAGCTGCTGCTCCCACATCGGAATGAGAAGATCTCTGAACGCCGACGCTCATATAAATAAATAACGTCATTTTAACACACGTAATCATACATCGGAGCTTTAATATTGTTAATAATTGTCTCGCTTTACACTACAGTGGACGGAGCGCAGCCTCCGTGGTGAAATACCCGTCCATCAGAATTATCAATAACTTGTATAAACGCATCACATTTATCCCTGTCCCTGTCTTCCTCGTGAAAGAAATGAACGTTAATCTTACCCGGTAAAAACACGTTCGCTGCAAATCTGAGGCCTGCTAGCCCGCTTGATTGATTGATCGCTGCAGTTCATCTCCGTCCTCAGTCTCCATCAAAGTTATTAAAAAGAAAAAACAAGTTGAGTTTACGTCCTCGTCTCTTAGTGCAGCCGACCACGCAGCAAGCTAAAACCATTTTACTGTCAAATCAACTAAAGAAAAGCGATAAAAGGCCACAAACTGGCTTGTTTTGACTACCTTCACTGGAGTTTCTACGGGTGTAAACAGTCTTTTTGCCGTCCATCATAGCGAAGGGGGGGGTCTCATGAGTGGTGTGACGTCACGTGCAAAGGGTCAGTATATGAGATTATGTAGTCTGGTCACGACCCATAGACAGAGCTCAGTCGTGAGGTGGAATCTGTATTTGTCTTTTAAACTCTCCTATTGGACAATGAACAACGTGGCATAATCACCGTTACAGATGCCATTCAATAGGGCAGTCCGCCATACACTGTTGAAAAAGATGCAAATACTGTACATACAGCACTGTGATTGGCAAGACACAAGGCTGTTCGGGCCTACTGAGGCTCCAATGGAGCGTGGCTAGATCAACCTGCAAAGCAAGATAATTCTGCTTCTGTTACCGTCTGTCTAGATTTCTAGGCTATGTCTTAACCTGTACTGTGATGAACTGCAGGCAATATGTCAAAAAAGGCTTTGTACACCAATAGCATTTGACATCATTTGACTGATGTCAATCTCAGAACAGCTGCGCATTCGTTAGAGGAAGTGCACAGACCAGGTGTTACCCAGGATCTTTTAGTTTTAACCCTGTTTTAAAGGAGTAGTTTATTTGTTTAATCAATACATTTGCAGTGGTCTCTGTGGGAATGAATGCCTTACAGGCCATAGTCAGGGCACAAAAAAGCCCACAAGCCCCTGGCCCAATAGGACCAAGTCTGCGACATGAGCGCTGTGCTTCAAAAGGGAGGATTTGGAGTCTTATGGGGAACCTAAAGTCTGATTTATACTTCTCTGTCTGTGTTGATGTGGAGACATGTAATGCAATGCAATGCAAGGACTCTCACCAACACCAGCATTGCCTCATCAAAAAGTAAAAAGATATTTAGCGGCGGACATGGAACACATTGAAGAACGCCTCATGGAAAACATTTATTCATCCGTGACTGAATGGGCTCGAAGATACAAAGCAAGCGTTTTCAATCGTGGATGGAAAAGACAAGAAGTGTGGGTTTAGAGGTGCCGACCGCATGAAGAGGTGGAGGAGATGAGGGACAAATCATTCGTGTTATAAAGTCTCAGAAATATATGAACACATTAGTATGTACACTGTACATACTGGACTGGATTCATGAGACTAATGGTGGCATGATACCACATGACCACTGTTTTTGACTGAAAGTTTCAATAATTGATGTGAACTCTGAGTGTACATCATAGTTCCCAAGGTTCTAGCGTTAATGGGTTTGGAGACCCAAAAAGCATACCTCATGTACCCTATCATTAAACATTGGTGCACGTTTATCCTTCACTTGCTGTCACAGCTCACAGTTTCCGAGAGAGTTTAGTGTGCAGTTTGTGTGCTATAGCAACAGGCTTTACTCCGTATGTAGACACAAAACATGTTGTATGAACGGTTTATTCACAGATGAGATTTACATGTGGTAGTGTATGCTTATGGTAACATACAAACTGGCTTTTTTCATTCTGTCCATTCCCATGCAATGTACGAAAGTTGCAGTATAAGAAACATAGTTTACACAGATCAACATATTAACCAGGGATTCATCCAGCTTTGTTATCACACTAAGGCTATAGAAGCCAAATGTTGGCATGAACATGAGAAAATGAACTGGGCTTGTCAGGCAGCATGCACAAAAACATATTTTCTGCAAACACTGTACACAATTTGACACATTAAAACAAACATTTTTAAATAAAAATGTGGGCATTTACATGAAATGAAGGAATGTCGCTTCAAAGAGTTCTCTGAAAGGTGTTACTGGACTTTCTTGTCTTTGTCAGCCACCACTTCAGTGAGGTCCTCTGGTTTTATGGATTTCACTTTGGCTTCCATCTGAGTGACCCTCTGCTTGATCCTCGCCTGGGTGGAGGTAAACTCCGCCATTAGCTGAGCGAACTTGGTCTGCATCCCATCCAGGTTGCTCTGCAGTTTGACGATCTTCTCCTCCAGGTCTTTGGGATCAGCACCAGCATTCGCGACCGCCTCATCTATGAGGTTGTCTTTCATCAGGATGGCTTTGCCTTTCTCCTCCAGAGCCTTCTTAGCCTCTGGATACTCAGTGAGCGCCTCCATCAAATCATCTTTGGACAAGGCGAAGAGGTCAGAGTAACCTACACTCCTGATGTTTGCTGTTCGTCTGTTGCCTGCTTTACTACCCTTGATGCCTAGGATGCTGATTTCTCCAAAGTATGCTCCATCACTGAGCACTACAAACTGAGTGACTCCATCGTCCGCCACCACTGCTAGCTTCCCTTCCTTGATGATGTACATTTCTCTGCCAATATCACCTTTCTTACAGATGTAGTCTCCTGGACTGAACACTTGAGGTTGCAGCTTGAGCACCAACTCAATCAAAAGTCCGGCCTCACAGTCCTGGAAAATTCTCACCTTCTTCAGTGTATCCAAATGGACATTGATGGCAATCTCAGCCTTAAGTTTGTCAGGAAGGTTCTTCAGAACTTCCTTCTCATCGCAGGTCTTCTTCTCAGTCCACAGGTAGTCGAACCACTTGATGACCCTGGCTTCCAGGTCTTTGGTGACCTTTCGAAACTGCATGTACTGCTTTATGGAGTCGATCTTTGCTTGAAACTCAGCACGAGAGGCATTCATATTTGAGATCATAGCACCAACGTTGCCGACAATACTAGCAAAAATCAACACACCAGTGAGAAAGTCTCCAATGACAAAAAGGAATTCAACATCTCTGACAGGTGCAGGGGTCTCTCCGATGGTGGTGAGCGTAAGTGTAGACCAGTACAGAGAGTAGATGTATTTTCGGGCCAACCGGCCGTACTCTGGGTGGCTGACATTGGGATACACCCAAGTGTCAGTCCCAAAACCAATGCTTTTCGAAATTGCAAAGAATAAACAAGCATTCCAGTGGATAATGGTGAGGATGTAGAGCACAAGGTTGCTGATACGGAACATGTTTGGGAAGCTGGTTCTGGTCTCAGTTCGCTCAAAGAACTCAAAAAGTCTCTGGATTTTGCAAAGACGGTTGAAACGGAACTCTGGGTTATTGAACCCATATTTGAAAAAAAGCAGATCAGTGGGAATCATTGAGATCATGTCGTATTTAAACTGCGATGTCGTTCTGTATTTATCTCTTAGTTTTTTGGCATCTTTTACAAGCAGGCCTTGCTCAAGGTAACCTGAGAGAGAAACAGAGAATAGACACATATAACAAGAACAAAAAGGTCAAGTTAAGTTTTTTGAACGTTTGCAGGAACATCACCTGTTCTTGATCGGACAAATGTGTCCATGTAGTAGATAATGTCTGAGGTGTAGTCTAAAACTATCCAGAGCTTTGGGTAGGTTTCTTGTAGATCATTGAAGCAGGCCCTTAGTTAAAAGAAGAAAAACAAAAACATCTGTTGGTGCCTAATGAGAAAAACACAAGTTCATGATACTGATGAGGTTTTACCTTGTTACAATCATCATCAGGTTATAAAATACAGGTCCTGCAATGACACTCAGCCATCTGTAGTACTGGTCTGTGGATGGATCCATGATCCAGATTTCCTTTCTGCAAACAGCTCAGTGTTTAGTGGTGTGAGAGCTTCTCCACATCCAAACACCATCCAGACTCAGTCATGTCCATTCTACTCTTAGCTCTTATGGAGTACTCACGGAGGTTCTTCTTTCTTTTTATCGTCTTTTTTATCGTCTTTCTTCTCGTCTTTCTTTTCATCCTTTTTCTCATCCTTATTTTCCCCATTCTTCTTTTCTCCGTCCTTCTCATCTTTTTTCTCCTCTTTCTTTATTTCATCTTTTTTCTCCTCTTTTTTTCTAGTGATCACAGATTTAGTTATAATGGGGACGGGAATGGGTAAGAAGTGGGTCTTAGGAACTAAACTGGGCATCTTGAAAGGACACTAACGGTTGTTGGAGGTTGTGGTGCAGATTGTACATTTCCCCAGCAGATGGCACAACATGTCTACGTTATCTATTTCAGTCGGATGTGCACAACCCACATCGACACTTGCAACAAAAACAATCAAGCTAGCACAATTATAGTTGTATTCTTCTTGTTTGTGTGGAGCAGGTTGAGGAAACGGTGAACAGGAGGTTTTTATTTTACAGATTCTACAACAGAAGATGCTACGAATATCTAACGGTTAAAACTACTGTTAAAGGAAGATCTAGATCTATTTTCAGGCATACATGAACTTACTCATCCGTGTTGTTGCAGTTATTTATGTTGTAAATAGCAAGAGGCCACTGACTGGTGAGAATTAGGGGGAAAAACAGAGAAAGTAATTTTGAATTTGGCACACACGTTTCAAATAAGGAAGTGGAATTTTAACACATTTTCTGAGATTAAGATTAGGATTATTTGTAAATTTGTGGTTTTCTATGCGAACTTTGAATTTTTGTTGTTTCATTTTATTTCTGGACAAATTTATTTTGTTATCATATCTCATAGAAATGAAAAGGTGTGTCACGCTATCATTTTACTTTAATCCATTTTCACTACTTTTCTGTCCAGGTTGATGCGTCATCACAGCTGGTTAACGTGTAATGCAGGTCTGTATTTCTGTGGGGTGTGTTTTTCCAGACAGATGAATTTTTAGCACCTTGATAACTCGGTACTCAGGAAACTTACTTTCTTTGTCGAAGTTTTTCACGCTGGCCCACAGACTGGGTGTTGCTCTCTCCGCTGGAGATGTCTTTAAGTTTGGGGCCTCTGATTCGCTCAAGAAAGGAGTCCTGCCTTTCTTCTGCAGGGTTCATTCTGTGAGATGTCCAGTTTTGCAGCATGAGGAGGAAGGAGGACAACCTAGAAGGTCAGCAGAAGGTGAAACCAAACAAAGTGGCATCCTTCTAGGATAGCACAAGTAGTTTATTACTTATGCCAAATTATGGTGACTAAAATACTGAGCCTCTCCCTGGGCTGCCACCTTACCATGGTGGAGGGGTTTGAGTGTCCCAGTGATCAGAAGTTTTATGCCTCATAGCGTCACCCATGGCAAACAGGTGAGGGATTAGATAAACTGCAGCCTCATAATTGCTTATGATGAGTACTATTTATGGATACGGTGTTCCCTCACACGGATGCGTGTCACAGGGTCCCCCTCTGGAGCCAAACCTGGAGTTGGGGTGCAATGACGAGCGCCTGATGGCCGGGCTTTTATCCATGGAGACGGGGATTTCTCTTCCTATGGGCTCACCATTCATGGGAGGGGCCAAAAGGGTTGAGTGCAAAGTGTCCTAGGTTGTGGCCAGTGTGAGAGGTTCCAACTAGATCTAGTCGGGCTCACCTTGATGCATGGCTCTGGCTCTGGAAGCAGTTTCCTTGAGAGGGGTTGGACACTCTACCACTCTGGAGTTGCCCCCACTGAGAGGCCCCGAGCAGGGGTCGGCATACTTCTTGCCACCCCATCTTGGTGCTTGTACTGTGGGGTTTACCCTGGTGAATGAGAGGGTAGTCTTCCTCCACCTATGTGTGGGGGGACAGGTCTTGTCTGTGGTTTGTGCTTATGCACCAAACTGCAGATAAGACTACCCACCCTTTTTGGAGTCCTTAGTGCTCGGGAGCGCTCCCTCCAGTGACTCCCTTGCTCTGCTGGGGGACTTTAACTCTCACGTGGATAATGACAGTGAGACCTGGAGGGGTGTGATTGGGAGAAATGGCCCTCTGATCTGAATTTGACCAGTGTTTTGTTATTGGACTTCTGTGCTAGCCCTGCATCAGTGGCGACGCCGGGGGCACTAGGGGGCGATATAGCTACCCCTAGATTAGCCATTGCACCCCATAGCACCCCCAAGTAAATAGATTTTTTTTTTACAATTTTATTTTAATGTAACGTGAGGATGTGATAATATTTAACATACAAAACTAAAATAATCAGTAAATTATCATATAGATAGTAAAAACTTAAACCAAAACAGGAAATTGATGTTAACCTTTGACCTCATTTTCCACTGGCGAACGAGTGAAAGGTAGAGCTAGTGGTATGATGGATCGGTTTTGTTGCCCACATTTCCACGGGTTCAGTCAGAAACGAATGAAAGTTTGGAAGTGATCTCAGACCCACAAACACCTACGGATCTGGATGAAGAGAGTCGACCCTCAACCGCCGCAGCAGTCCAGGGTTTAGCCGCTGGAAATGCTAACGCTAATGTTAGCTAACCTTGCAACACTATAGATGGTTTTCTGTGTGGCTGTATGTGTTTATGATTTCATGGAGAAGTCAGTGATTGTTCATATGTTTATGATGTATATTAATGATTGTTTCAGGTGTTGTTGAGGTGTTGTGCACGCATGTGTATCTGCTAGTGTTGAAGGTGTTTTAGAGAACAATAGCTACGCATGACCACTTCCTTCATAACACCCTCAATAAAAAGACTAGCTCCTTCATAGCACCTGCAGAAAAACATTTCTGGAGCCGCCACTGCCCTGGATCGTCCCTAATGAACACCATCTGCATGTGTTTTGTGGATTCGGAGAAGTTTTTTGACTGCGTCCCTCAGGGGACTCTGTGAGGGAGTATGGAGTACTTCTTGTTTATGAGTGAGGGGAAAATAGAGCCGCAATAGGCATATTGGTGCTGCATCTGCAGTGAAGCTGGCATTATACCAGTCTTTCATGGTGAAGAGAGAGCTGAGATGGAAGGCAAAGCTCTTGATTTACCCGTCTACATGCCAAACCTCAGCTGTGGTCACGAGCTTTGGGTAGTGACCATATGTAAAGAATTAAATCGTGGGTACCAGAGGTCAAAATGAGTCTTCGCTGCAGGGTGTCTAGGCTCTCCCTTAGAGATAGGGCTAGAAATTTGGCCATCCGGGAGGGGCTTGGACTAGATCCCCTGCTCCTCCACATCGAGATGAGCCAGTTGAGGTGGCTCGTGCGTCTAGTTAGGATGCCTCCTGGACGCCTCCCTGGTGAGGTTTTCTGGGCATGTCCAACTGGGAAGAGACCTAAAGGATGACCCAGGACATGCTGGAAGGACGATGTCTCTTGACTGGCCAAGGAAAACGTTAGAATTCATCTGGAAGAGCTGGCCTAGGTGGCTGGGGAGAGGGAAGTCTGGGCCTCTCTGCTTAGGCTGCTGCCCTGCGACTCAACCCCAGACAAGCAGAAGATTTTACTGGACGGGTGGCCGGATGGTTAAAAGAAGCAAGTATTCTTTTTGTTGCAGGGTTTATCACCCAGATGATGACTAACCTCAGTAAAATCTATACCATCAGCTATCATCAGATGACCGTTTATCTTTTTACTCGCTATTTAGATTTTGTTTGCATCAAAATAAAGACGGACCCCGAAAGTCCCGCATCGGTTTTCTGGATGTTCACCAGTTTTATCAGCAGCTAAAAGATACCACTTACATTTCTCTCCTCAGGAGAGTCTCCAGCGTGTCTAAAGCTGTACCAAACCCACATTAACTAGACAGAAGCCAGACTTCCAGTCTGACATCCTGAGTGCTCAGACTCGGGCTTCAAAGATGGAACATGGCGTTGGCAAATGAAAGAAGACAGAGACTCGACATCCCTGCTCATTAGTCTCTGACTGCATATGTACATTACATTTGTGAATACCAGCTCACTCTGCGAAAGTATTACACCTACCTGGCCACTGTCCTGGCACCTGTCCATGAGCTTCTATGGGACTCTGAGGACACGTCTCTCTCAGAGATGTCTTCACGATGAGAGTGGCTCCTAACAAACAGCAGGATTATAAATGTGACATTAAGATCATGTAAATTTGATGACTAATTTTCTAAAATTCTGTTTTGACTGTCAAACACAATTTAAACATAAAGAGATGACTCGTGACGGTGCTGCTGCTAATGGTGTTTACCGACCTGCTGTCTCCATTTTCAATGACAGCAAGCTCATCGTCCGACGTGCTGTTGGGCAGCCGCTGTCTGGCTGAAAAGGAGTTTTCACTGCAGACTTTTGCCATCTTGTCCTACGTGACTCTCGGGGTCTGGAGCACACAGGAACAAGATCAAGCTATCATCCCGTCAGACTGAAACATGACAGCGCCTTTTTTTAGTCTCAGATGAAACATTTCAGAAATGAGAGGTGTTGCTGTGTTGTCTGTTTCGGTGTCTGTGTGAGCATAGCGCCTAAAAATACATCCTGCTTATGTTCTTGAACACTAAACAAGATCAGTGCCTTCTTTATGTGAACCTTCAGCTGGCTTTCAAAAGCAGCTATGGCTTACAGGTAGAGTGGAGCTGGTGTGGTGTGTATACAGCAGGTTAAGTCTATTAGGACACAGCTTAAAGATCTTGAGGCCGAGGGCAGAAAAACAGCACTTTAATAAATACACTCGTTTTTATATTCTGAGAGTGGACAGGGAAATCCAGACAACATAGCAAGGTTGTAAAATATTTGTGGAGGTGTATTTACAGCAATGCACCTTGATGATGGTGTCTCCAGTGGGAGTCACTGACCTCTGAGTAAAACCAGTGGTTGTAACACGTGCACTCATGCAGATTAGAGTTAATACCGAGGAGTTAAGCAACCCCCACTAAATTCAATCACACTGAGAATTGCCAAGAAGCTGAGTGTTTGAAGGGTGATGAGAGGTGAAGCCAGCAGTGTCTGTGCAGTAAATATGAGTTATGTCGTTATCTGCAAGCCGCTCAGCGCCCGTGTTGGGTTGCACATTTGCATGAATGTGCTGCACTGAAAATTCAATTCAATTCAATTCAAAAATACTTTATTAATCCCAGAGGGAAACTGATTGCTGTAGTAGCTCAGAATAATAATAATAATAATCAGGTCATCAAAGAGTTGTTGTATATTACAATGGCTGTTGGCAGGAAGGATCTCCAGTAGCGGTCAGTGTTGCAGCCAAACTGAAGACGCCTCTGACTGAAGACACTCTTCCGTTGTCGGACAGTCTTGTGAAGAGAATGCTCAGGGTTGTCCATCATGTTCTTGATTCTCTGGAGAATCCTTCTTTGCATTATCTCCTCCAGCGGTTCCACAGTCGTCCCCAGAACAGAACCAGCCTTTGTTATTAGGCTGTTGAGCCTTTTCAGGCCCCTGCTTCTGATGCTGCTACCCCAACAGACGATGGCTGAAGAGATTACACTCTCAACAACAGACTTGTAGAAGATCTGAACAAAGGTTATTCAACGTGAGTTCGTTTACATCCACTGGACAGGACTGGGGTGTGTGTCAGCTCTGAAGTTAATTTGGAAATGATGAAAATAGGAACAACATCTGAGACTAGGGGTCTTTTTAACACAATCCCGGGCTTAGCTCTCAGAGATCCTTTTGTTTGCACCAGCGTCACGGCTGGATTTCAGATTGTTGTAAAAATCGAGCCTTTACTATTCGTTAGTTTTCACATTTTAAATCTTAACCTGAAAAAGACGATGATGTTCATTTAGTGCAGTTTTAAGTTAGTAATAAGGCTTCCTAAAAAGCATAAAGGTTTTAGAAACAACCTGTGGAAAGTCTCTGAGGAAGTCTGCTCTGTTGGATCCAAAGAGAACACGTAACTCACCTGTTTGACGCTGACTCACTCAGAGTTCTCCAACCCAACCAACACATCAGTTATCCACTGATCCCTGCAGTATAATCCCATCTTCCAAATAAAAATAAATATTTTTTATGTTTGTTTGTTTAAATCCAAGGAAATATCACCAAAAAATGATCTCAGCACACAGTCATGTAAAAAATAACCGAAGGCTGTCCATGATTAGAGCCGGTAGCTGTGCTGCAGGAGATTTGTGCAGACTGAGCTGACGACTCTCAGAGTCGGACACGGGGAGGGGGGAGGAGTCCTGGTCCTCGCTGCACCTGCTGCCACGACCCGGTTTATAACTGAGAACATTAAAACAACTGAAACTGATCATGACCCACGTTTATCTACTGGGCACTGATTGTGAAGTGATGCTTTAAAAAGGAACAGTGTGGTCTCATTTAGATTTGAAGTCACGTTTGAACTGTTTATTTAGAAAGTTGCACCGCTCCGTGCCGTTAATGTCACTTACCAAAAACATCAAAAGACCTCAAAAACAGGGACTCTCCTTACCCCACTTTTATTTTAATATGCTGCTTATATTTTAACATAATCTGACTCTGTTAACTAAGTTTTTATTATAAAACGGCCACATTTACACTGCCCGGCCAAAAAAAGTCACCACTTGGATTGAACTAAGCAAATAGGTAGGAGCCACCTATTGGATAAATTCAGCTGGTAAAAGTTATTTAACCCCACCTGGTGCAATGAGCAGCTTCTCATTTCTTAAACAACCATGTGGAAAGACACATCTGGTGGTCGTGGGAAAGATGTTAGTCTGTTAGAGAAGGGCCAGATCATTGGCATGCATCAAGCAGAGAAAACCTCTAAGGAGATGCAGAAACGACTAAAACTGGGTTAAGAACTGTCCAACTCATTAAAAACTGGTCTGATGAGTCCAGATGGACCCTGTTCCAGAGTGATGGTGCATCAGGGTAAGAAGAGAGGCAGATGAAGTGATGCACCCATCATGCCTAGTGTCTACTGTACAAGCCTGTGGGGGCAGTGTTATGATCTGGGCTTGCTGCAGTTGGTCAGGTCTAGGTTCAGCAACAGGAAGTGCTCCAAGAATGAGGTCTGCTGACTACCTGAATATCCTGAATGACCAGGTTATTCCATCTTCCCTGATGGCACGGGCGTATTCCAGGATGACGATGCCAGGACTCATCAGGCTCAGATAGTGAAGGAGTGGTTCAGGGAGCATGAGACATCATTTTCACACATGGATGGGCCACCACAGAGTCCAGACCTTAACCCCATAGAGAATCTTTGGGATGTGCTGGAGAAGGCTTTGTGCAGCGGTCAGACTCCACCATTTTGTTTTTTGAGCCTTGTCTTTAGAGAGTTCAATACTTTTTGACATTTACTCGTGTTATGGCTGGTGCCATTTATGTTTTATTTCATTTCTTACTCCTCTGTTTTTATCCCTCTTGTGTGAGAGGAGCTGTTTTGCAGCACCTAGCTTCTCCCACACCTGTCTGGCTCCACACTGAAGTCCCAGCTGGTGGCAATGACAATCAGCAGCTGAATGAGGACTCTGCATAAAAGCCACCAGCCCTCGTCATCAGGGAGCAACAGGCTGGACATGTGGCAATGCCGTTGGAGATGAGTTTTTATGAGGTGGGGAAAGTGTTTCATTTTGAAAAACAATTTTGCACTAGACGTCTTATATTTTCTCCACGTGTCATTCCAAACTCTTGGTCCCTCACTAGGAATATTCATTAATGTCCTTGAAAAGTTTGAGAACTATAATTTGAGCAGAATAATACAAGGTGCTGATTGGAAGATGAAAATGAATGAATAGTTATATATAAATAGTTATAGTGGATGCATCTGAAAATAATAAAGTTAATGACAAACATTCAGAATGAATCATATTAAAACTCCAATATAAATGTGGTGCTTTTTTCTCTTAAATGTATAAGATTGTGTGAGTCTATTTGCCTGTGGCTCGTTTATCAGGTGGAACCCAGACAGGAAAAATAAATAATCCATAGTTAACAAAATAAATAATCCATAGTTAACAAAATAAATAATCCATAGTTAACAAAATAAATAATCCATAGTTAACAAAATAAATAATCCATAGTTAACAAAATAAATAATCCATAGTTAACAAACACACAATCGTACCATCAAGGGGAGTCCGAGACTGTAGCTAGGCGATGTCTTCACTCCGGTTTTAGTTTGGTTGGCTGTTCTTGTCTTACATTAGACAGAGTTTCTGTTTATATTTATATTTAAATTTCAACACTTACTTGATAATTAATAGACTTAGATTTCATACTGAACTGTGTAGTGTTTTAACATTTGGACAAAACATTGTAATATCTCCAAGAAATGTGGTGGAAAAGTGACTCAAGTTTTCTAGCCTCATTTTTATTGCTATGAGGGACTAAATGTGACTAAATTTAGCTGTTAAAATGCTAAATGTAGCTAGACATAGCAAATATTTGTAAATGTGCTCCCCGATAACTGGTGCCCCATATTTATAAGGGTGTTTGGGTATAAATCAAGAATCATCATTAGGCTGATACTGTCCCATTGTCCTGCCCGTCCCCCTGCTGCTCGACAACCGAGGCATAAAGTCAAAGAGAAATCCCTTTTGGCGCTACACAGAGCTGTGAAGATAATCCCAGCTTAGACTTGAGCACCTCTTTCAGCCAGCTAATGCCCCCTCACGTAAACCAGAACCCTCTCCCATAATACTAAGTTCTTACTCTGTCAAACACACCTTGCATGATATTACTGATCAAATGATTTATATTTTTTATTTATCTAAAAATCAATCAATAGAAATGACCTCTTTGCTATGAAAAAGCTGAAGATTAAAACCAACGAGTTTCTCAAAGGAAAGGCAATAGTCCATCCAGCTCAGCCTTAGAGATAGGGTGAGGAGCTCGGACATTCGGGAGGGACTCGGAGTAGAACCGCTGCTCCTCCAGATCGAAAGGAGTCAGTTGAGGTGGTTTGGGCATCTGGTCAGGATGCCTCCTGGACGCCTCCCTGGGGAGGTGTTTCGGGCATGTCCTGCCGGCAGGAGGCCCCCGGGTTGACCCAGGACACGTTGGAGAGGTTACATCTCCAGTCTGGTCCGGGAACGCCTTGGGGTCCTGCCGGAGGAGCTGGTGGAGGTGGCCGGGGAGAGGACGGTCTGGAGCTCCCTAGTTGGGATGCTGCCCCCTTGACCCGGACCCGGATAAGCGGAGGAAGACGATGACGATTATTATTATTATTATTATCATCATCATCATCATCACCATCATCATCTCCAGCAGCAGAAGACCACACCAGGTGTCTCTGCTGTCAGCTAAGAACAGGAACCTGAGGCTACAACTCACACAGGATCACCAGAACTGGACCAGAAGAGACTGGAAACTGTTTCCTGGTCTGATGAGTCTGGATCTCAGCTGCAACACTCAGATGGTCGGGTCAGAATCTGGTGTCACCAACATGAAAGCATGGATCCATCCTGCCTTGTATCGATGCTTCAGACTGCTGCTGGTGGTGTAATGATGTGAGGGAGATGTTCTGGTCCCACTTTGGACCCCTTAGTACCACCTGAGCCTGGTTTAAACACCACAGCCTACCTGCGTATTGTTGCTGACCATGTCCATCCCTTTATGACCACATGGACCCATCTTCTGATGGCGTCTTGCAGCAGGATAAAGCACCATGTCACAAAGCTCAGATCATCTCTAACCGGATTCCAACCACCTCCACAGTCCCCAGATCTCCATCCATTCTTGAGTTTTTATTTTTTTTGTAATTTTAAGTAAAGTTAATTTCTTCTGATTCATACATTATTTAAGTTCTTTTTTTATTAGCCTTCTAGGTCCAATACTCCATGTTGAGGATGTGTTCAAAGATCTGACAAACACACCAAGCCACAGATATACCATC